TCTTTGGGATGTGGAGGAACAGGAGCTTGAATCCTATCAATATGGGCCAACATTTCTAAAGAATGCTTTCAGCACCTTGTTGAATCAATGCCACGCGTGTAAAAGGGCACAAGTGAGATTAAATCGGGAATCATCTTGAGAATTAAATGGGCTATATGCACGCATAAGTTCCGCATTCGACGCAAGGATGCTCCAAGCTCCAAGGATGCTTCCGGTTGTGGAGATTAAAACCGAGGAAAACGGGATTATGGCAGAGTCTTCAAAATTGACCGTCCTCCCGTCTTTGAAACGAAACTTACATACGTTTAGATGTAATTTTATATATAGTTATGTTTATTTAATATAATTTTAAAAAGAAGCATAAACACAACGAGGGGTGTCTGTTTTTGTGACTAACGTTTCTTTAGTATAACCATGGAGTATAAAATTCAATATAAATTCTCGGTATAGCATTGGACTCTACGACCGGTGGAAGTTATCGAGCATCCTTACACTTTCACCGGAAATACCGCCGTGCATAGAGCCCATTAACCTTTTCCCCGCGTATTCATCAAGGCCAATCAGCTTTCAGTGTCACAAAAGCGTCATCAAACCGGTGAAGAAATCCAAATTATTGTTAAATTCTCCATTCATTTTTTTTTTCTTTTACAATTGCTACCCAGTTAACTAAACTTGCTAAATTGAATAACATTCCCCCCATGTGCTCGTTTTGTCATTATGAAGAGACAATCATGTGTTTTGGGACCAGTGTTGGGTGTAACTAATTACTAAGTAATTAGTTACTGCAATTTAATTACTTTTCCCTTGAAAATGTAAAGTAAGGGATTACTCTTCATTTATCTGTAATTTAATTACAGTTACTTCTGATGTAATCGAGGTAAATACTGTGTATAGATCAATCCGATCTCACAGCGATTTGCATGCATTTTGTGAGGTGTTTAAATAGTACGATCGCACTCGTACAAATTCATATGAATTATTGTAAAATATGTACGAAAAAAGTGTGAAATTCATGAGATCAGACATAAAACAATAGTGGGTTTAACATCAAAATGTATTGTCTGATTAAAATACTTCAAAAGTATGTTTTTATAATGTAACCTTCTCCACCTTGGTCAGTTTAAGGATAATTCATGCAATTTTATAATATTTATTTGAAAGAATTCAAACAGATTCATGTCTATCCTTGTATTATTCAGCTGGTTGAGATTGATATGGGGTTTTGAAAGTAATTAGTAATTAAAAGTAATTCAATACTTTTTAGAGAGAGTAATTAGTACAGTAATCTAATAATACTGTTGAAGAGGTAATTAGTAACTAGTACTTTTTAGAGTAACTTACCCAACACTGTTTGGGACTGTGTGAATGGCATTTTGGGATGTTGTATTTTTGGTTGACTTTTCAAACTTGTTAAAAGGCATGTCACGTGTGTATCTCAAACTTCTGTATAAGCCACAAATACTCTCTGATTAAACCCTTCTCATTTTAAACTTGTATTTAAATTGCTACTTTTTCTAGCCAAATGTCATTCACAAATGTAAATTTTCAGAGAAAAATCCTTTTTTTGTGTTTAAGAAAGAGTTTGAAGGCATCTAAAATGTAAGTAAGACTTATGTAACTCCGTCACGGTGTTCTTTGTGGTTTTGGGTTGTCTGGCGTCGAGGCGGGTGGGCTGGGATCTTTGAATCCCTTTAATCAGGAGGGAGGTTTGTGAATTGTTTATCTGCACGGAAGGAGCGCCGTACAACTTTTGCACGATATTCAAATTTTTGAGTTTCAGCTGTACTTACTGTAAAGGTACCATGTGTAAGAATTGAGGTTAAAATATCCAAAAAAATAAATAAATAAAAGAGCTACACGCATCCAAAGAAAAGTGAATTCGACCCTAATAATGAAAAAAGGCAAATAATTAGATTTGCCAATTAGACATTCTCTGATACAACTTAAGCCTCACAGAAAATGTTGAAATTGCTTTGTAATTTCACAGAGTGCCCTCCCAAAAAAATGTCTTCACATCACCACATCGCGTCTGCACTATAAGCATAAGCTTCAGTCAACACAGGAATTGCCAATTATATAAGTCTTGCCAGTGTTTAAAGGGACACTTCACCCATTTGCATCAAGCTTTGTATTGTTAGAAACCCAGGCATATTTTTGAATGCTTGTGTATTATTCCCTGAGACGGGAGAAATAAGGATTTCAGTGTTCGTAATTTTGCATCATTCTAAGCAGGAAGTCCCATATATTGGTAGAGGGGTTGAGACTACAGACACTCGTTCCTTATTTGCAGATTTCGAAATTCTGATGCTTCAAGAAGGCACCAAATTTGAAACTCATTTTACATTTCCACTCCATATATGGCTCACTTAAGACTTACAAACAGCTCGCCAGCACCAAATTGTGCTTAAATGGTCAAATAAACACAAATGTTTGTACAAAATTACCGCCTTGACGAACACGCACGTAAACTCAGTCGGTTTTGTGAAGCTTAAACGTAAACAGTTGAGGAAGTTGTGTAACAGTATATTGGACCTGCACAGCTCTTAAAGTCACAGCATTACCTGATTTCTTTTTAAAGCTACACTTTGTAACTCTTTTAGTTTATTCTTAGCTAAAAACACTTAGTTCTTTCAAAAATATATGTGCTCATTAATGTATTTACTTCGTTCAAGTAATAAAGTATTCTCGTGAGTGTATAATATGCCATTGAAAATACATACGGGTAAGGGGTTTATTTCGATCGCCATGTTGCCCCTCCATCTTGAAAGTACATTAGCCAAAGAGGGACATACCCATTAATTCAAGCTTCGCCTTTCGCATTTACGTTTGAGTTAACATTCATGGACGAGTTCGAACTGGAAGCCATCTTAATCTTGGACTACATTTGCCACCGTAGGAGTTAAAACGAAATCGGAATTGAGAGGAACAGAAACTAATATTCACTGGATGGTCATATACCTTTTCACCACTAGATGGGGGTAAAAATCACACAGTGTAGCTTTAATTTACATTATCTCACTAACTCACTGCTCTTGAATGACTAACTCTTGTAACTTTAAATGCAAGCATTAATCTGTATTTAACCATTTTACATTTGATTCCTTATTAGATTTCCTTAGTATTTTACCTACACCTACCTGAAAAAAAGTGTTTATTTTATTTGTATGTTTTTTATTTACATGTTCTACTACTTTGTTCTTATTTTATTACTGTTACTGTTGTCTTTTTTGGGAATTCATTTGAAATCATTCTTGTGCAACAATTACCCCATATTAAAAACAAATTCACTGCATGATTAAACATTTAGGTGAGACAATTATGTATTTTTTTTTTTAAACGTCTAAAAATGTCTGGGGATTTCCTCCATTTTCAAAAATGAAATTCAGGCCATGAATTTACTGAATTGAATAAAATAAATAAAAATCGATTAGTTCGGTTAGAGAACAGACAGTACAATTAAAAACTAAACGAGTCTATTCAATTCAGCGAGAGACGAACATAGTCCCGTACTTATTTGTTATAAAAGGTCTATGACTTGTCAAATAAGTGACCAATGAGTTAAAATGAAGACACCAACGAGTAACTTTTTGATAATAGCATTTTAATACAAAAACCCCAAACAGTTCTCTTTAATATTTCATATACATACATTATATATTTTTTAATTTTCTATATGTTGTACAGAACTTTGAAAATCTGGAAGAAATAAAACATACGATTTCTAACGCATGACCCTTTCATATCTGAGGGGGGAAACAAATCAGTTTTCTGATTTTGACGCACTGAAAAAGATTCCCACATTCAAGAGCAAACATTTCATTAAAAAGATCAAAAGAAAATGAAAATTCAATAATCAAACCTGCCAATACAAGTTCTGGAATATTTCTACAAAACCAATTCGGAATAGCGACTTCCAAACGAACACATGGACAGTCCAGATTAAGCATGATAGGTTTCTTCTTTTCTATATTAAAACACAACATTATGATAACAATACTTAGGATAGCAATAAAGATGGCTTAGGACGACACAGATTATTGCTCGATTTAAATCTTTTTCATTGCGTTTACAAAGACAGGCCTGAGTGAAAGCTCGTCGGCAGAGGCCAAACACACGGTCAGACAGAAACGCATCTGTCCATTTAAAGCTGCAGAACATCTGAGGAGTTTAACTGCACCAGCGTCTGTTATACTGCACCAACAGGACTTTTAAATGCTCTATTTGAATTGAGGTAGCAAACAGGATGCAGAAAAGTAACATTTTAAATGCAATAAAATTTCAAGTAGTTGGAGATATTTGGATTTAAAGGGATAGTTCACCCCAAAAAAATATTTACTCACCCTCATGTTGTTCCAAACCTGTATTTGTTGAACACAAAAGATATTTAATTTTTTTTTTTTTAAATATAATTTTTTTTTTTTTTAGATATTTTTGGTCTTGTTTTAAAGACATTTGCTTTCAGTACGATTTTGTTTGTGCGCAGTACACAAACAGACTCCATTACTGCCCAATATAAGGTTCTGAGTGATATGAACCATTATTTCCACAATTTTCATACAATTTATGAAGTAGAGATCCTATTCAGAAGTAATATTGGAAGTTTGTCAGATTTTGATATGAATTCAACCTCTAAGAAACACACACAAAGAACACAAATGTGCGTTGTAGCTCGCTGCCATGTCACAAATGGTGGTTTTATTTTTTTTTTTCTTTATATTTAAAACTTTTCAGACCTTTTTTTTCTAAAATAATTGAATGGATGCCATCTTTTGACCTTTTGGCATGAAAACAAACTGAGTTTTCTACCATTTTTCATGTTCATTGCTATTTTAAAATAAAGGTCTGATCACGCCTTTTGAGTATGAAAATATTCTTGTTGCAAATTGATAAATTATGGCTCCTCTGTAATTTATTTTGAAAATCAGTCACCAAATATGGAAACTAGAGATTGTAAGCTTTCAAATGATATATAGTTTGTCAATATTACTTAAGGTATTTACTAAAAATATAGTGGCAAACGTCCTACCTGTGGGATGGTGACAGTGAAGGACAATGTTTTGGGTCTCAAGTGACTTGCATATACATACTAATGGGGTCCATCAACTTTCTGGTCACCAACATTCTTCAAAATATCATCTTTTGTGTTCAGCAGAAGAAAGAAACTCATAAAAGTAAGTAAATGCCAGCCTTTAATGTGCAAAATTCCAATCGATTTAGGCTGATCTTCCTGTCTTTCCGATTCAACATCCTGTCAGGCCAATTCAATTCAAATTCCAAGTCATCCACTGAAAGGGAGCCTGTTCTTCAAAAAAGCAGCTCTTAAAAACGCGAACAAAAAAAAAAACATGCTTCTGCTTTACAGACATCAACGAACCCGACCAACACATCTGATCTGGACGTATTTCTGAACGACTTTACTGACACATTTTATCATCGGGATCAAAACGTCACATGGCATTAGAAAGACGCAGTGCAATCGGTACACAATCACAGTCAGAGACAGACAGACGAGACTGCCTATGTGTGCGTGCATATGTGTGTGTGTTTATAGGGCAAACTAACCCTCCTTGTCACCAACAAAAAAAAATAATCAATGTATGTGCGTATATGGCAGAGACAGTGTGGGACCGCTTGTGCTAGAGGTGTGCAAGTGTGCGTGGTTTTAAAGTGAACACGTTTCAATAACGCCCGCCTGTCTGTGCGCTACGCTGTTTCTGTCTCCCTCCTGTATCCTCACGTTATGGCTTATAACTTCCATTCTCACAACACATCCGTCTCTTGCGCTAGATCCCCCCGTGCCTCCATTCTGTCCGACCCTGCTGTCCATTTGGTTAAAAGAGTAAGAAATGGCACATAAGAGAGCAACAGTGAGTGAAGGAACTGACAGAGAAAAGCAGGATCACTCGGGGAAAGGAGGAAACATGGGCATCTCTCCAAAGTCATCGTTCCCGAAGCTGCCGGTCTGATCCAATATGGAGAGAACATCCTGATGAAGAGAAAGAGAGAGAATCACAATCCCATCATCATTTACTCGTGATCCAAACAATGAAAGACAATGGGGATCGGTGCCACTGAGCTTCAAAAATGACAAAAACAGCACTAAAGTATCATAACAGTATTGCATATGACTTGTGTGATATAGTTAGGCTTTTTAAGGGCTGCACAAATTAAATGAATACTGTAAAGTAGGGCTGCACGATTCTTGCTAAAATGTGAATCACGATTTTTCTCCATGGGAATTGAGATCTCGATTCTCTTACACGATTCTCTTTTTTTTCCCATCCAAAATGTATTGCACTCAAGTAAAAAAAAAAAAAACAAAAAAAAAAAAAAAAAAAAAAAAAAAACCACAAGACAGTCTAATAAAGTGCAGTAACAAAAAAAATCTAAATTGTTTAAGCTGGTGTTTTGGGGCTAGCCTATGTAGCTGTCTGTGTATTAGTCATGAACTAAAACTAAGTGTAGGCTATATTTAATATTTTCTGGCTAGTTTACTATAGCTTTTTTTAGAATCAGACATCACACTTTCACCCAAACTGAATAATTACAAACAAGTTTAAATGGGTAGCCTAAATCTTCTATAAATATTTGAGTCTTCATATCTAAAACTCTCCAAAATGCTCTGTGAAACTGCGGTCTTCCAAACTTTCGTGTTGTTTGAAGACCTCTCTCTCTCTCTCTCTCTCTCTCTCTCCGCCCTTTCAAGCGCAGCAGTTTCTATTCTACATCATCACTCACCGATCAAACTAGGCTTTGGCGGGACTAATATGTGCTTAAGCGGCCTCCAAAAAGCAGACGATCTGACGGTTTTAGAAGATTAACAAACCGAAATTAAAAAACAGACCCACCCTATTTGAGACGAGCTTTTATTTACCCAAACCTGCAGCCACACAGGCGTGTAAAAGATACAGGCGTCTATGGGACTCAGCTATTATTTTTATATAAGTTTTAAGGTATCAGTTCTTGTTAAAACTGACTAGACATTGTGTGAAACTACTTTTTGAGTGAAATCATATTAATTTTGTCCCTCAAAAGTGTGCTTTCACTTTAATTGAGCGCGTGTTTCACTGCTGCTCAAAAAAAATATGCGCTGCTCACGTGCAACAACTTTAATTTAGACATTGCCTGATGAAACGTCCGCATGATTGATTTGTGAATTATTGTTTTGTTTTTGTGTGAGTGTGACCAATATAACGCGTGAAGCAGTGATGCGCGGGTCAATGTATAAACAACCCGCAACCGACCGACGTTTTCAACTACCCGCCCGCAACTCGGACCGCAAAAAAAGTAAAAAAAAAATTGTACCCGACCCGCTTCCTGACCGCATTTTTTTAAAGTAGTAAATGCTCATCGGAGCGTTATTGGGCCATATAGACGTGTAACAACACAGCATCGCAAGAAGACGTAGGCCTACACCAGTGATGCGCGGGTCAATGTATAAACAACCCGCAACCGACCGACGTTTTCAACTACCCGCCCGCAACTCGGACCGAAAAAAAAAGTTAAAAAAAATATTGTACCCGACCCGCTTCCTGACTGCATTTTTTAAATGCTCGTCGTAGCGTCATTTGGCCATAGACGTGTAACAACACAGCATCGCAAGAAGACGTAGGCCTACACATAACAAAGGCAAAGCCAGCACTTTGGTCATCATCTTTCATTATTTCAGCAAATGTCTCCCACACTTTTACTCTTTCTATTTGTGTATTTGCGGAGCTTCCACTCCCCAGTCTTCACATTTTCTCTTGCCGCCTCCATCTCTCTGCAGACTGTAGTGATCATAGACATGGCCGGTTCGTGAACGAATCGTTCTTTTGAACCGGTTCTTTTTAGTGAACCGGTCGAACCAGTACACTAAATAGAACTGAATCGTTCGAAACAGTTCGCATCTTGCGTCAGTGCTGATGATCCACAAGTTACAAGTTACTCACTTTCAGACATGCCTGACAGTCCTTCCGAATCGAAATAAATCAATATCCTGAATTATATTTTACTCCAGTAACCGAGACATGTTGGTGCCACTGCTGAAAGAAGTGATGAGCAGGAGCAGCTGATACTGCGCATATACGTACTACCGAACGCACAGGGACAGTGGTTCTCGAATCACCAGTACAGAACCGAGAACTGTTTAGACTGAGCTTGTGTGTTATCTTCGTGCCAGTTATTCAGCCAATAATGTGTAGGCCTGTATATTTCATCGAAAATTGTGTCTACAAAGACACAATTTAAATACAAAGGTTTAATTGGCATCTTTTTTCAAACGACCCGACCGACCGCGACCCGAATATCATTAAAAACATTTTTGGATGACCCGCAACTGCGGGTAACCGCGGGTGACCGCAGGCACCCGCTCATTTCGGATCAACCCGCGCATCACTGGCCTACACATAACAAAGGCAAAGCCAGCACTTTGGTCATCATCTTTCATTATTTCAGCAAATGTCTCCCACACTTTTACTCTTTCTATTTGTGTATTTGCGGAGCTTCCACTCCCCAGTCTTCACCTTTTCTCTTGCCGCCTCCATCTCTCTGCAGACTGTAGATATCATCGTAGACACGGCCGGTTCGTGAACGAATCGTTCTTTTGAACCGGTTCTTTTTAGTGAACCGGTCGAACCAGTACACTCGAACTGAATCGTTCGAAACAGTTCGCGTCTTGCGTCAGTGCTGATCCACAAGTTACTAAAGTTACTCACTTTCAGACATGCCTGACAGTCGCCTCCGAATCGAAATAAATCAATATCCTGAATTATATTTTACTCTAGTAACTCCAACAGTTCACTGAACCGAGACATGTTGCTGCCACTGTTGAGAGAAGTGATCAGCACGAGCAGCTGATACTGCGTATACCGAACGCACAGGGACAGCGGTTCTCGAATCACTAGTATAGAACCGAGAACTGTTTAGACTGAGCTTGTGTGTTATCTTCGTGCCAGTTATTCAGCCAATAATGTGTAGGGCTGTATATTTCATCAAAAACTGTGTCTAGTACTAATACAAATGTTTAATTGGCATCTTTTTTCAAACGACCCGACCGACCGCGACCCGAATATCATTAAAAACATTTTTGGATGACCCGTAACTGCGGGTAACCGCGGGTGACCGCAAGCACCCGCTCATTTCGGATCAACCCGCGCATCACTGGCGTGAAGGCAGCATGATCTGAATGCAGGGAAACACACAGAAGTGAATCGCCATCATTAAGAAATGAGATCGCTTTTATGTTTGAATCGAGATCGTGATTTTTTTTCCGATTAATCGTGCAGCCCTCCTGTAAAGGACCACTCACGATAACTTTAACGATAATGGTAGTTTTAAAATCATTCTAAATGAAAACAATACCAGAGTCCACACCACAACTATAACGATTACCAACTATTTTTTCCAGCTGATGAACAATAAATACATTGAGAGCCAATCAGAATAGCAGATGAGAAAACTGCAGTGTGCTTAGAACGAACATCGACATTGTCCCTGCAAGCAATGTTTGAATATGTCCAAGTGTGAATGTAAAGCATACAGTAAATAGTTAAACTTGGGTCTGTTTCTCACTCACTGGAAACATCTCTGGCTGGTGGTTTTGCGGGTGTGTGTCTGCAGTGCCTTGTGTGTGTGGCTGGTTTTGCCACTGCTGCCACCCTGTTGTCGCAGTTCCCTCTGCTGGCCTGGAGCTGAACTGCGCTGCCATCTGACTGACGTCACCTAAATGAAAGAGCGAGAGCAAAACTGAGAGCTGGAACAGGGACGACGGTTTATTTGTAAAAAATATGCTGCAAAATATTTACCATATCCATTAGTTGAGGGGGTGGTGTGATTGTTCATTTGTTGGTAACTTGACGAGTTTGCCATTGAAGCAGAAGCTCCGCCCATCTGGCCAAAGGAAGTGGAAGATGTTGGGGCGGAGTTGAAACCACCCATGTTAAACTGAGATGATGGACTTTTCCCAACTTGACCTGCCATCTGCTGGACAAAGAGAGTATTTACAACAAAATGGGCATTAACATGCCCATAACAATCAAAATGCCACCTGTAATATGTACAGTAGTGTTGTGACGGTGAGGATATTTTCTCACCGGTTAATCGACATGTGACAACACCGGTAATACCGGTGTCTCACCGGCGGGGGCTTTTAAATCGCTAATTTAAAAATGCGCACGTTTTCACGGGCATACATAACGGTGCGGTAGTGCGGGAAAGAACTGTTTTGTTATTGTGCCCTGAATATGCGCTAGTTTGAAAACGAAACCAACTTTCACTTTTAAATTGGCTTCAATTCATCCTTCGCTTGGAGTTTGATTGACAGACATGATCTGACAGGATCAGTCAGAAAGCAGTCAGGAGTAGATTAACGTCGGTGGAACTTTATCAGACAATCTGTCACGACACATTAAAGAGCCACAAAACGGTAGGCCTATTTATTGTTTGATTTTCTTTGACTGACCAAATTTGAAAGTTGAGACTGTTTCATATTAAATATTACCTGCTTGGTTCTGTCTGTAAACGCGTTGTGAGTGTCCTCTATTTTTCACTCCTCGAGAACATGGGTTGAATCCCAAAACGCCCTCTAGGCCTATTCCCTTCATTAGTCCACTAATACTGTTCACTTGAAGGAGTGAATGAGAAGGAGTAAGTAAAAACGAGTGAGCGAATTCGGACAGCCGTTGCTGACAGAGACGCGATCTGACACGCGTCCCATTTTCTCACAAAATACGGCAACCGGTAACTCACCGGTAACACCGACTACCGTGGCAAGCCTAATGTACAGTGAAGGAATCAATTATGTACAAGTCAAAAGTTTAGAATAATTGTTTTTTTTTATATACTGTAAGTCAATAACAACAATAAAAAAAATTGTCTATTGCAATGCTACGGTGTTTGGTCAAAAATACAGTAAACAGACAAAAAAAAAAAAAACCACGCTTTCCCTACAGCAGTGGTTGTCAAACTCTTTTGGTCACGCTTTCCCTTTAAACCTTTAACAAAATCTGCCGCCAATTAAAACAAAGACTTCTTAAAAATGTGAAAATGTGCGATGAAAAACACCAGCAGTAGTTACACTTTGTAATGTCATTGATATCGCATTAAGAAAAAATAATAACTTAGAACTTTTGTTTAATCAAACAAAAACATTAAAATATTTCAGTGATGCTCTGGATGAAAAATATATAAAAGCGCCAATATACAACAAAGGTTAAATAATTGCTATTCGCGCGCTTGAACGGCGTTGCATGGCTGTTTTTCCTGCTGATGTCTCGTGGCATGACATGTCTACCTGTGTGTTGAAGGGAGGTCGTGTGGCAGACCAGACTCCAGGCAGCGCTGAGGGTCCCGCTGGGGCCTGGATGGGGCTGTTGTTGCTGACGGGGACTCCAGAGGGCGTGCTCTGACGGGACATCTGCGCCAGCATCTGACCTGCTGAATGAGACACCGGCACCATCTGCTGGGCCATCGCTGCTGACCTGAGAACAGAGAAGAGTACAGTCAGAGGAACGCGGCAAAACCATGCCAACAGCAGGAAAGCACATCGATATTTGTGCCAAACAACAGGATAGTGATGAGGGGTGTGTGTGTGTGTGGTACCTGAAGGGCTCACTGGGACGTGCAGTACTGGGGAAAGACGCTGCTGGTGGGTAAACCTGCTGTCCACTGGAGGCACTGGATGACACAGGCTTAGAGTCTGAGAGAGACAGAGACGTGTTCAATCACTGACGCTGGGTTAGAAATCAAGAAAAGGGGGGATGGGGAAGCAAGCAACACTATCAAAACTTTTTGATATTATTAGTATTATAAAAAGTGAGAAGTCATGCAGAGGCAATTATTCACCCGCTACGGCATGTGTAAAACATTTCTGTCAACTCTGCATATAGCCTATCCTTCGCGATGGATATCGCGTGTTTGTCGATGGAGCCGGTTCAGCCCATACTAAATGTTCTGACCGCATTTTAGCAGGACAAAGCTCTGAGGACATCAGGAGTTACAGGGACTGATGTCAGCTACAAAGTACACAGGCTACATCGTCATTTCAATTTTAATGGAGAGTAAAACAAAGGCAGAGCACCCTACAATCTGAAAGGTAGCATTATTTGGTTGAACACCGGTGTTGTGCCAAATCATTACCCCCCTAGTATTGGTAGGTTTAGTATTATTTGTGGGGGAGGTGTTAGAATTAGGCAATCAGGTACTGACTTCAACGAGGGGGTAATAATTAGGCACAACACTGGCACTATAACTTCATATTGACGCACGGCTAAACAAAGGCAGAGCACAGTAACTCAATATGAGCGTTGCAAAACAAAAAGCCAAAGAGCTGTAACTGGTGTTACGGTGTTCTGCCTTGGTTTCTCATTGGCTTTTAGAAGTTACTGTTAAGACAACCCATTATTTTCTAGGAAAAAAAAACAAAAAAACAACAGAATTGACTCAAGATACTTATCCACATGATAAAAGGAGGTCTTGTATGTGCCAAAAATATCAAAAACTAATTTTCATCCAAACACAAAGTTACGGTCTTTTGCCTTTGCACGGCAGAACAGCTCACCAATCTCGCCACTGACTAACTTCGCTGCCGTCTTCCATGTATACAGTGACCAAAGAACTACCGGTATGTAAAATCTTTGGAGTGGCTCCCATCAAGCACAGAATTGTGACAAATGTTGATCTAGGGTGACGTAAACCTTTGCAAAACATCAGACCTGAATGTAGCAACTAAGCAGCAGATTAGATCTTTACTTCCAAAAGTAAAAGTCGTTTAACCAACTAATTATGACATACATTAAGATATTTTGTAGTAAAATTTACATCTAAAAGTAATATAATAATACTACTACAATATCTTACATTTCAAATACATTTATACAATTTTTAGATTTTATTGTATGGGGCAAAATAAAAAGTAGCTTATTCTGTAGAGTTTACTAGTAAACAAGTTGTGTTTACATTGATTCTGAATGTGTGTCTGTTCTTCATACATGGATTACTCAGTTATATTTGATTGTTAGGTTCTTCGAAGCTCATCCCAGAGTTGCTGTCATGGCAACAGGTCCATAAACTCAAACCTGTTTTTGTATTGTAAACTCAAATCTTATTTCGTGTAAACTGGACTAGATTGCATCTTTTTAAGCGGAGTTTATACTTAAAGTTGCAATGTGTAAAAATTTGGAGTATCTATTAACAGAAATGCAATATGACATCCATAACTATGTTTTCAGTGGTGTACAAAGAACTTACTTAATAAACCGTAACGTTTTTATTACCTTAGAATGACACATTTATATCTAGATAACCGCGGGCACCCCCTTCTCCGAAGGTCGACATATTTGCTATGTGGGGATAAATGTGCTGGTTACGTTTGTGAAACAGCGGATTAGTACTCTTGTCATTGACCGTAAAACAGTAAAGTTACGGGAGTCACCAACCCGTCGATCGCCGTCGACATGTCGATCTTGGAAGCATTTTGAGTCGATCACAAAGAGTTTTCAAAATCAGATAAAAAAAAAAAGTCTATTATGTGTAGTAAATGGGGTCTAGGGGATGTGGTCATGGAATCACGGACGGAATTGCGGAATAGCTTGTTTTCACGTGACGTCACGGCACGACGTTGCCATGGCGCAAAATGCAGATTGAGGACAGGAAGTGATTTTCTATATTTAGGAAGCACTATAACACACTCAAAATACCTATGTTTTGTGTCGTTTATGGTTGCTCAAATCGATCAAACCATGAGGAGTTTGTATCGTGTGCCAAAAGTTGTTGTTCATAAGCGGGGAAAATACAAGAAATTGACAGAAAAACACTGGGAAAAATGTCTTGCAAACCTACGTCTGCGGTCAGGAGGAGCCGAATGGAAAAATGCCTGTTTGTGTGTGTGCAGTGATCACTTCGTCAAATGTGAGTATACATTATTTATGTGGCTTATAATTACATTATTCAGGTGTTTAAATACACTTATGTGGCTGTTTGTGTAACGTACCAGTTTCCGAACTTTGTAAAGTCAAAGTATGTCTGTAAGACGAGTTAGTTGCTGATGGCGGGCAAATCTCTCAATTCAGTGGAAAATCGGTCCTCTTCACAACGTAAGGATCACGTCCAACATATGTTTCGATTTTCTATTTATATATTTCCCTTGTAATAGTGTCTAAAGTAGTACAGTACGTATTTTCCTCCATCTCGTCCATTGCGCTCTTCACTCCTTGCCCTCCATCTGCATTCCGCGCGTCAACACAATCACGTGACTGCAAACCACCTATTGGCCAATTAACGCGGAATCTAGTGTTAACGCGGAATTTTACATATTTGGTTTGAAATTCTGTTTTTGTGTGGGAGAAGAACGTATGTCTGGTGAAAATGCAGACCAGGGGAAGCAAATCTGGGTGACACAACCCCCCCAACCCGTCATTTCAGCTACAATGACGAAATCAAAACAATGAAAGCATGGTGAAGCGGCTCTCCACGGCTAAGTTCGCACGTGACTAATGCAGTGTTTCCCACACATAGACTAATTCGCTGCCACATACTGCGTTTCATGTTTTAACACTATTTAAAAGACGCAGCGTATTCTTTCAGTTGTATTTCCCCGCTCTCCCTCCGTCTCTCACTCACGCGTCTCTCTCACATACACACACACCGTGCACACCGCGTCTGTCTATGAGGCGCCGGACTGGACAAAAGCGAAGCGAACTCTGTGAGCGACACTGGGCGAGAGTGTGACTTTATTTAAACTTATATAAACGAATATAATTTATATTACTGGACAGTTTAAAGCTCATAACCATATTTTGTTGTTACTTGAAGAGTACAGTGTTATGTTGCATCATGCAGTATTTGTCCTGAAAAGGCTACTGAGTAAATGAGAACTGAGTAAATCTGTATTACCTCAATAAATTTAAGGTCAATCCTAATTTATTAATTTTTTTAAATACATTTTAATCATTAACTTTAAAAGCACACCCTTTTACGACTAAAATAACAGTCAAGGGTAAAAAAAAAAAAAATCCCAAAAATTAAAGGTAAAAAACAGAATTTGGGAAAAAAATAAATCAGGGTTCTTGCACACTTTTTAAAGTAAAATTTAAGGCTTTTTAAGACCTTTTTAAGACCTGAAGAAATCAAAATTAATACCATACATTAGGGGTGTGCGATATTGACAAAAATATATCTCGATATTTTCACGTTTTGTTGATAAACACAAAACAAAAACAAAATCAGTAAAATATCAACTAATTATTATCAACAATAATTAGTTGATATTTTACTGATTGTGTTTTTGTGCTGGTGCCATGGCTGGTTTAGGCCTGTTGTTGACAGCAGACTCGCGGAGATATTTATATTTTTCATATTCTATGCAGTGGTCAGTTCACAGCAGTGACAGAAATTATTAATTAATGTGCAATATTTGCCACCTTAAATTGATTTCCAGGGCATTTTCACCTATTTATGGAGATTTTTTTTTCTAAACTTCTTTAGAGTTATGCATCACGTGCATCACATATATACAGTAATTATACTTATTTATACAATAATATTTCATTACACAATAATTATACAGTACCACTGTTAGCAGTCAAATTAAATCATTCAATCAAAAATCCATCTTTGCAGTGCAGAGTAGACGCAGAAGCAGCCTTAGAAGTGGCATTAATATATAGACTCCATTTACAATTGCATAAATCAAGCTATAAGGTTTTTAAAAAAAAAATCAATATTCAATATTTAAATGTGAAATGATTTCTTATTTTTTACTTTTAATATGAAACTAAAACCGCCAGTAGGCGGCGGCAAATCGCTGTCTTAATAAGCGAGTTGAGGGAGTCATTCATTCAACCGATTTGTTCAAACGGGAAAGAAGCAAGTGATTGAATCGTTAAAATGACTCGTTCAAGACGCGGATTTCCTTCAAGAAATCATCGCTGTCTGTTGCATTGAGACTCTGCTATGGTTTCATTTTGAAATTCTAGTCGGCGAAATAAAGGGAAAACAAACATTATCGATAATGTTATGGCTAAAAACTAACTCAAAATGTCACTTTATTTTTAATTTAACTATTGTATAACATAAATATCACACTTGTGCACGGGAAAACGGCACTCTTACTGATTCTAATATAACAACATGATATAAATATAAGGCAAAAATTTGGGGACATACCTATAACCATAATAAATACATGTCTATGCCTATAACTGCACACATCACGCCGTGAAAACACGAGAGACAAAGCTCACAGCTCACACTCGCAGTGCCTCGTCCATCGTTAAAACAATAGAGTATCATAATAGACAATACACATCGCACACCTCTATGCACATAAAGAATTAACTTACGACTGAACTGACATTTGCCAACTTTCTTCTCTCCTCCTCTCCTGTCTCGCGTGCAGGAGACGGACGTTATTCTGCCGCGAATGTGACGCGAATTGTCACGTGAACAAGCAAATCCACAAAGATAAAAATTAATACGTACGCAAATTAGATGGTTTTAATTTGGAAAACATTAAGATATGACTGAGTCGAAGTGTCATCTAAAATTTAAGACCTTTCATACCTAAAAATAAGACTTTATAAGACTTTTAATGGCCTTAAATTTTAAATATCTAATTTAAGACATTTTAAGACTTTTTAAGGACCCGCGGGAACCCTGTAAATGGATTTCATAGGGCCCTAGAGATGCGGAGGCATGCGCTGTTACAATCATGTCATTTTTGCCGCACGCACCTTTGGGCTCACACGGACGCGTCGAGTTTAAACAAGGCTTTACGCTTTAACCAGTCCAGTACTGTCCACAATAACAGCTCATATTAGCCAGCTAAACTTTTACTACCCTGTTAGAAAAAATATATAGTTGCATGGTTTCATGTAATTCTTCTCCCTTGCTGTATTATGGGGTTTTCAATGTGGGGAGAAATGTGCTGGTTACGTTTGTGAGACAATCAGCTACTTACTATTATTATATTATTTGTCAAGACCCATGATCCTCACCTGACTATCAATGGCTCTGTAAACTTTATCCATGATGTGGTTTATAATGGACTGTGGTACAGAAACAGTGACAATGTTACACACTCTCGGCTTCCTCTGGCTATTCTCTGCTGTCTCAGTCAGACGATGATATGTTTGTCCCGTTTTAGCCACCGTAGCTTCTTCGAAAGAGAGGGCTGAGCAGTGGCACTGAGCCATTACTGCAAACTCGCCACAAAACCGCTAGATGTCGCTAAAAATCACACACTGCACCTTTAAAGTCTGTGCCAATAATAATAATACCAATGGTAGTATTATTATTATGCAGTCTATCATAATATAAGCACAGTCAGTTTTACTCATTGAGAGATTGAGGTCCAGAAATTCATCAAGTTTTCTGTCAGGTGTGTAATGTGCTATTATAACATGTCATTATGTTGCCATCACCCAATCGCTGCATTGCTGATCATGTTTTAGAGTATCAATACATTCACCCTTTCCAATGAACACAAGAACGTGCAGTAATCTCAGAATATTTTAAATCAAATCTGCAAATTCGTTTGCAGAACCAAATTAGCCAGAGATTAGTTCTAATCACGATTAGAAGATCTGGCACCTGACAAATCATCTCGGATGTATTAAGTGAGGTACAAAGAACTGACCCCAGTAGTGTGTGTGTGTGTTTATGGGGAGTCTTACTGTGATCAGCACTGACTACACCTACAGTCGGCACAGGAACCTGAAAGAAACACAGATGGAGACAGACAGTCATTATGTGAACAGGTTAGTGCTCATTATTTACATACAATCTTAAAGGTACTGTAACAAAAAAAAAAAAAAATCATTTTAGGGTCAGAGAGAGAGTGGAAATTATGAGAGGATGATGATCATGAATAAGTAAAAACATATTTTAGTGAAGAAACCGACTAATATTTTAAGTGGACTTCACAGTAAAAATAGTTCTGATATTAAAGTGAGACACCAGAAACAGTTCACATCATAATTGAATGTTTTGTAATTACTACTTCACCCTCTTAGGCTGGTCCATTTTTTATTTAAAACATTTTATTGTTACAACCTCAAGGAAGTTAGCGTAATAACATTTCTTTAAACAACAAGATCCCACTTTATATTAAGCATCTGCCTACTATGTATCATCAAATGATTAATTTCAATGTTAGTACAATGCACTTATCCTTTACATGCTGAGGTTATAGCATGTAACCTCATGTACATACGAAGAGTTCAGATGCAAAAGCCTCTAAATGCCATTTGAAATTTTCTTCTTTAACTCTTTCCCCGCCAGCGTTTTAAAAAAAAGTTGCCAGCCACCGCCAGGGTTTTTGACGATTTTCGCTAAATTTGAATGCCCCCGCTGAATATTTTCTTCCATGAATATATGAAGATGATATATATAAAAATAAAGATCTGAGCCTCTGCTTTTAGGCAAAAAAAAACGTTTTTATTTTATCTTCATCTGTTCTTTTTTTATTGCCTCTTGAACAGAGGTAGGTTTTGTCAAAAACACAACATTTTGGACAAAAAACTGAGAAAAAGGTGTTTTTATCAAACAAGTGCATTTAAAAGCAGAATACATTCAGATGTTGTTTCCTTCATATATAAAACTTTCCAAAATAAATTAAAAACATAAAATAAATGTAAAATATATCAAATTTCCCAGGATGTAAGGGAAATGTAACTTTTGCAATAAAACTTCTGCCTCTGCCTCTCTGTGTTCTACCTGTGAATAATGAATAATTGGAATTACAATAAACAGGCCTAGACACACACACACACACACACACACAAATACATATTACAATGTGGTAAATGTGCACAAAGAGAGAAATAATTTGACAATTACACCTTCATATTTAGACAGCCACACATAAATGCCTGCACACACACATACTGACATACATATTATAGTGTCATAATATTATACGATCTATCTGCGGCACGTCCATGGCTAGCATGAACATGTGCATCTCTCTCACTGACTACTTCGTCCCGATCAGATTCAGAATTATCAAATAAAGAGTGATCGGACTCCGAGTCCATTAACCTCCAGTACTTCAGCCATATACCTCTGCATTGTCTGTCTGATACATTCTCACTACTCCACTGTTTGAGACGATTGCAATCTGTTTCTCTAAACAAAGAGTTGCGCAATCATTCAGGACATGCGCGCGGGTCTTCCTTACCGTATACCACCTAAAACACGGATACCCGGAAAATTCCGTGTTTGGCGCAGATGCGTTTTTTCATTAAACACGGAAAATTCCGTGTTTGGCGGGGAAAGAGTTAATGATGATTTTTATCAAACTTGTATATTTAAGTTCAGTGATTTCACTTAAATAACAATTAATAGGTAATCATCATTGCCATTTAAGTGAAACCACTGAACTTAAACATACAAGCTTGATAAAAATGATCATTCTAGAAGAAAATTTCAAATGGCACTTAGAGGCTTTTGCATCTGAACTCTTCATACATATCTTACATTGTACTTGTATTGAAAAAATACCTGCATTTAATTACAGCTGTAATTTATGTCTGTAAGGACACTGTTGACCGTTCTTGCATCTTAACCAACCCTAAACCTGCCCATACCATCAAACCTGTCCACCTCAATAGCAGAACAAGTGTTTGCAATACATCAACATACGTACATTAAAATACAATTGCTAGATACACAGTAACTAATAAAAATGTGTGACCAACAACAAAAATGACTACGAACAACCAAGCTGTGACCAACTAATGAATTGAATAATCAGTCGACTGGTGCTTTTATGAAACAACGCACACATTTTGACAACATTTGAGTTGGAGCACCACTGGTGTAGAAGGAAAGTGTGTTCACCTGAGGAAGAGTGACCTGATTGGCATCATAGGCTGCATCTCTGCCGATCCCTCCGTCTAACTCCTGCTGCTGCTGCAACTGCCTGAAGAAGAGAAAACAACACTGACGTCAATGCAGGCCCAGCGTCATGACCATCAAACCCACCACCGCCCAACACCACAGCTGCCTACGGGAAGAGAGCATGCTGGTTAATCTACCACCGACAGAGGGTCACCCGAGAGACACGGAGAGAGAGAGAGTACCGCTGCTCTCACCTGGCTGAGACTTGACCTGGGCTGGGTGTGGAGGGGCAGTTAGGACTGCTCTGCCCCAGAGAAGGGGGCAGTGACACCCCCGGGGAGGAAAGGGGGGACAGGGAATCCTGATTCGGACCTCTACTGTTACCAAAACCAGAAGGATTGGTGGAGACAGAGAGTGGAGCTGAATTAACACGCTCACTTCTCAGACACATATAGCTCAATCTAGGCACAACATGTCTGAATCATGGTTCACCTCAAAAATCAAAAACAAATGTGAAAATATGTTTTGCATTAAAAATTTGCATGTTTTTGGGAGCGTTTTAAAATGAAGCACATTTTCCTAAAATTCTCTTCATAATTGTGTCCAGGTGTTTAATTTTAAAGGTCAGATGATAGCCCTAAAAATAATGTTGTTTTTAGAACCGTCAGTTAAACGCGTTATTAACGGCGTTAACGCAAACCCATTTTAACGGCGTCAATTTTTTTATCGTGTGATTAACGGTCTTTTTGGCCTAGCAAACTTTGTAGTGTTTTTTTCACATGCTTTTGCAACAGGACGCGGCATGCGTGGCGCTGCGCTCTGAAACCCACTCATTTCAATGGCTTGCACCGCGCGAGGACGTTTTGTTGCTTCGTCGACCAAAGCGCAAGCGGCTCTAGCTAGACCGGTGTGGTGAAGAGATGAGTCCCCCTGAAGAGATGGGTCCCACCTTAGGACCCAATAGTATGCCAGTAGTATGCCTGATCTAAATATTTTCTCGCTATAACTTGATAAAAGCATGTTTATTTGTTTAGCGCTTTTCAAGTAATACGTTTATTTTGTTTAGCGCTTTTCATAGTAGGTTGCGTCAACAGCATAGGAGAAAGTCCGTGAAATTTAAAAATATTACTGTTATTGTGTCATGAAATGTAATTTTAAGAGTTTTTTAGTCGAGAATGTAGTTGTTTAAAGCTCAAATATGTGGTTTATTTACTATCTAAGTACTATCTATCTTTTATCTACTATGTAAGCTAACTAAAAAACACTAAGAACGAGAAATGTTTAAATTTACAATCTACAGCTTCGGTTATATACTAGTATATGAAACATATAAGTTAAAATACATTATACCATGGTCTGGGTGAATACTCGATTCTGATTGGCTGCAGGGTGTCCGTTAAAAAGTGATAGAGGACACCTAGTAAAGTAGTTCTGGTGAAACTGCCTGTTTACCATTCGAAATTAATAAATAAATGCGCTGCCTACAACGGCTGTGAGTAACCATAGCAACAGGCAGTCACATGCTCTATCATCTAACGTTAGATATTATAGCCTAATACAACAATGAGCGACTTCGTGCTATTTCTTTTAACATTTATGGAGAATATGGCAACTTTGACGACTGGTATGCTGCTGAAGAAAGAAAAAATGTAAATAAAACGGAGAAAATTACACCGCTGCTGCTTTGCTCCATTGAACTCTATTGGTAACGACGTAACTTGCGACCATAGTTGGATAACGATGCTTTCGGGAAACGCACCCCTGAATGAGACCCTGCGGGAGTTTTATGCAGCTGTCCAGACAACCAAGGCAGGAGAAGGCTGAACGTTACAGCGTTTCAAGCCTAAGGAGCCTGAGGCAAATGACCCTCTCTTTGATCTGATTAATTTATTGCCCTCTATAACGTTAAGCGCAAATCGCTGGAGCTCAGAGCTAATTGTTTTTTTATTGTTGTTTGATTAATTGTTTTATGTGTAATAAAAAAAACTATGCCTACCTTTGTGTTTCATGAAAAAAAAAATGCATTTGTGAACCTGAAGGGATACGAGCTAAGCGGACTATAAATATCTCCGGTTGCTAGATAAACAGTCAGTCAAGTTATTATTTGTAAAAACTAGATTTAGCCTAATTAAAATATAAACTAATGTTTTAAAAATGTTTTATTTGGCAAGTGACCATGGTATAAGCGGGTTACTTCGGCGGAGGCAACCGTCCTCCGCTGCGCGTCGGCCGGTTTACGCCTCGCCGTCGTCCATTAAAACCTGACAATGGACACCTCGTCGGGCATTAACCCTTACTTAATGACTCGTTATAATGTACTTCAAACGTCTCTTATAATAAAGTGATTTTCTCTAATTTGTAACCAGGCACTAAAGCGATTACCCATAAAACTAGCTTTGAACCAATCGGATCACTTGGGTCCTAAGGTGGGACCCATCTCTTCAGGGGGACTCATCTCTTCACCACACCGGAAACAAAACAACAGGACGCCGCACAAACTTGTTTGGGCTTGCGAGCCAGCCAAATAGTTGATTAACGTTGCGTTTTGAGTGGATGACGAGCGCGAGACGCCGAAATGGATGCCAATAAGATTCTGAATGGAAACTTAACTTTACTAAAAAGTTGCCAAATGGTTCCATTGACAAACCCAAAGTGATCTGTGTGTTTTGTCGTTGTGAACTGAGCTATCATCATCGCAGCACATCCAGTCTAAAAATACCACTTGATGATGGCCAAGCACACACACACACACACACAGATGATGCAAATTCTCCACCCCCTCGTCAATATCAGGACCTCTTCAATATTTCTTTCACCCTTTTATTGATGGACAATGTTACATTGCGAGATTATTTGCTCCAAGTGAGAATGTTAGTGTGAAATTGAACACAGTATGCCAATGTTGTTTTCAATTAAAAAAAAACATTTGCACAAAGCAAGCCGATCCACTTTTCCATGTTGATAAGAGCATTAAAATGAGAAAAAAAATAACGTGAGAAAACGAAATCAAGAGACATTTAGAATAGATAAAAATGTGCCATTAATCACGAGTTAACTATGGCATTAATGCGCTATGATTAAATATTTTAATCGTTTAACAGCACTGTCAACATTATTTTGTCTATTTGCTTTGATGCAATGTGTTTACACGGTTTTAGGTAAAAAATTTTTTTTTACACATACTGTACATTATTGCTGCTTCTCTATGCCCCGCCTTTCTGAAAGGCGTAGATTTGTATTAAGCTCATCGTTCTGAAAAGTACTGTGTGCTCTGATTGGCCAGTGATCCAGTGCATTTGATTGGTCCAAAAACCTTGCGTGTGTGACGGAAATGTTTTGTGATCGTAATCAAGTTCAACCATATTTGGAACATCAGCTCCCAAAGCAGTAATGACAGGTGATGATGTCGGTTCTACCTTATTAATTCGAGCCCGAATCTGATCCAGAAAATACAGATGTCCAGGTTGATCGATCAACTTTGCCAGCATGACTGGACCAGATCGTGTCAGATTGGCAAGGTTTTATTTCATTGTGGACATAATTACTGATTATAATGACTTATTCTGTCTTTTTATGCGTCACGTAATGAACATGAGCATACAACAGAACATGTTGTACTGTTCTGGAGCAGTGTTGTAAATTAAACTTAACTTTATTTTGTCAGGCCAAACAAAGTAGTTTGGCTTTGTTGCCCCACTCTCGCGTCCTTCACTCTCTGATAATCTTCATTTTCATGTAAATCTTGAGTATGCCTATTAGGGGTGTGCAAAAAAAATCGATTCACATTTGAATCGCGATTCAATCTTTACCGATTCAGAATCGATACATAGAATTCCAAAAATCGATTCATATATATATAGGCTATATTTTTTAATGGCGTGCAGGGGCGGAGTGGCAATCGGGTGAGTCGGGACTTTTACCGGTGGTCCGGTAGTGTTTCTATGGTTTCGAGGCTGCGAGGGCCGGTCTGATAAATAGTTATTGCAAGTTCTTGCCGCCCGCTGGTCAAACTATGCAGCCACTCTGCTCAACCCGTAAATAAATGCATCGATCCGCAGATCTTATGTTTGAGTTCTGTAGATCTTTTGCCAAGCGTGTGGTGACGGGTTCTAAACCGCACTTGTATAGACGAATCCGGCGAAACTACCGGAAGTAAGCGGGCGCCATTACTGAGCTGTTGCTGGGTAGCGTTGCGCCATTGCCTTCTATTGTTTTAGTTGCAACTTATGTCCACTGGAATAAACAGCTCGCAATTTACGACTGTCACTAACGTTACAACGTTAGCCCTTGTATAATGTCGAGTGGGTAAACAGTTTCCGTTATAAATTGTTTCAATGGTGGCAGTAAAATTTCAATTTTGAAGAGAAAACATTGTGAATACCCCGGGTCGACTGCCCCTGTCTGGTGCCGTACGGTTTACACAGATTTCCTGGGCGAGTACAAGACGCGGACATTCGCGTATAATAACAATTATTTAATGACATAAGTAAAAAAATATAATAAATGTGTGATATAGTGATCAGCAAAATCTCCTCTCTTGTTATTTTTTCTATTCAATATGGTCATTAAATGGCTTTCCTGAGCTGAATGTAACGTTATGTGACATAATTGTTCTCCTGCTGTTATATTGACCTCTTTCCATGGTTTAAAAACAGTAGTTGGTCGATATTATGTATACTTTCTAGCTGTAACGTTACCTTACCCATGCCCGTTGCAATGTAAAAATGAGATAAATAATGCACACAAATGAAAAACATGAAATTGTTTATTTGATTTCATTTATTTATTGTTGCCAAATGGGCAGATCTTTTTTTAGTTTCCTCGGTAGCAAACGTTAGCCTAGCTTGCTTGCCAAGCTATTTTCATAAATAATCTGTAAGATCGTTTGTACCTTCATCTGTGACTGGAGGCCAATGTCTAACATCATCAACCCAACAAGTCTGCCTGGCTGTAGCTGTCATCAAGGGTGCGTTATCACCTTATCTCCGAGGTTTGTTTACATACCGGTGCATATGTCTATGCCGGTGTAACAGCTCAGTAATGGCGTCGCCACAAGATGGCAGCCTACACAAGAACGCTCGTCGGATTCGTCTATAGTTTTTTCTCTCTCTATGTTCATCACGTTTGTGTGCATTTCATTTTGTGATTTCACCGGAGTCTCCACAACGGCGATAGGTTGAAGCGCGCGTCCGAGAGAAGACTGCGCGAGCCACAGAGAACACTGTATCCATGACACTGATCGCAGCGGACACGAGCGCTCAGCTTGATTTCAAAAACAACAGGTCTCTTATTTAATAGCGAACTAAATGAATGCTCTGCTAGTTAACTGGAGATACCCGCAAATTACGCGCCTATGAACGACTTCACTGGATCTAAACAAATCAATCTAGCCATAGATGTTACCAGTAGCGGTGGCTTTTTTAAATCTATTTAAAATATTTTCGCATGGGTTCTATGAAATTAGTATATATTTTTAGGAAGTTCAATGTGCCCAGTCGAGTTCACATTTCAACAGTCAAACTGGTAGCTGAAGTAGGCCTACTCCTTAAACCACATTTAGCATAACTGTTTGTTTGATCTGACTACAGCACTTTAAAGCTAAATGTAAAAGCTTTTTATTTAAGTTTTATTTTAAACTTGAATTAAATGTATTTAAAAGCTGGCCAAAGCTTGGCACTTCGCACTTTTTAGTTGCAAAAGTTTTTATTTTTGTATGAAGACATATAAAGTAATATCAAACTTTTCTTTTAAATTATGTCTACTGCAATCAATCACATAGGAAAAAGTAAACTACATTTATAAAGACCTGCAAATCGTTTTTTGAATCGAGAATCGTTTTTGTGAATCGAATCGTGACATTTTCTGAATCGTGCACCCCTAATGCCTATCGTATTCTGCATTATTCTCCTGATTTAATCCTACGGTGAGCTCGAACGGCAGACGTGTTCATCTCGCTACTAAATCTAGCTAGCCGGTACGCTGGAAAAGCAATAAACGAAACTGCTACAACGGCTAGGCTACAACCTTTACACGTCACTACCCAGAGTGCATTGAGACATAAATAACTATGGCGGCCTACGAGTGAACAGATTTTCTTATTCCTGTAATGATTTTTTATTTAAATCAGCATAAATAAGAATTTAACTGTTAACTATTAATACTTTTATTCAGTAAGTTAATTAACCAAAATTGACAGTAAAGACATTTTTAATGTTACAAAAGATTTCTATTTTAAATAAATGTTGTTCTTTTAAAATTTCTAAACACATTTTTGTGGGAATCATAAGCACCACAACATTGATAATATTAATACATATTTGTTGAGCAGCAAATCATCATATAATTACTTCTGAAGGAACTGAAGACTGGAGTAATGATGCTGAAAATTCAGCTTTGATCACCTGAAAATTCAGCTTTGATCACATATATTTTACAATATTCTTATTGTCACTGTATTTTTGATCAATCAAATGCAGCCTTGTAGAGCACAAACGACTTTAAAGAAAACATAACAACCCAAATATTTTCGTGGTAGTGTTAATAACTGAAATCATACAAAAATATTTCTGCATTACATTAAGGAGAATTGGGGAGGAGGTAAATATCCTTAATCATCACGAAATGTCACATTTCACTGTGTCATAATACATAAAAGAAGCACAATTTTTCTTTATTTATATATTCTTTGTCGTTATCTACATAGTTTCTTATATAGAAAAATTATATTATATGAATATGTATTTTTTTATATTTTAGGGTGAAATAAGACCCAGACATAAACACATGCCTTCAAACAAACAGATACATTTACATTTGATTACCTCAACAGGAATTAACCTTCGATCATAAAAACACTTTTATACATTGTATGAAGTCATACTACATTAGACAACACTGAATAACATGAGGCTGAAAGTGTTGAGACCGTGACACATCAAGCCGAGCCCGCGTCAAAGAACCAACGGCTACAGAAGACCACTTTGTTGTGACCACGTTGGCTACTAAAGGAGTAAAGGCGACTGTCCACTAGAATGTGTGTTCTGAGTGTAAGGAAATACCTGTCTTTGTCAGTAAGCATCAATTAGTCTATATTTGTCCTTCAAAAAGGAAAACTGAAACTAGGACTGCAAATAAACAGTCAACAAAGCAGCACTTTCTTACCATTTTGAATATCCATCACGCTCATCACTTTCTTCATTCCGGGCAGCTGTTATGAAAATATTTCCATATTGGGATGCTCAGGGAAGCAAAGTAAAACAAGAACAGCCTTCTTTCTGTGCCATCTTGCTAAAACTAACCTGTTGGCTTGGCATGTCACGGCACTTAAACAGTGTCCCCAAAAACCTTTCAAAACTTTGGTCACAACATCCACAGCATTATCATAGCACGATATCCGCAAACAACTTTTGCAGTAAAGTCAGTTCACACAAGTGTAATTAATCACCTTCAAGTGTGTGTGTGTGTGTGTGTCTGGTCTTGTCGTGATGCATTTCAATACTAACTTGACATTGGCGTTGGTGGAGATGATGTACTCGATCTCTTCAGAGAAAGGATTCTGGAAGGTGAAGGAGCTCATTCTCATCCAGATCCACTCACGGGATTTAGACTGGAACCGGAACATCACCGAAAGCACCTGACCTCGCAGTTTCACCACCTACATCAAGGGTCAAAGGTCACTTATGCATACACAAAGGATTAAAGACCAGCATTAAAATTATAAAGATAACAATAACTATATTAGCGTTCACACCAGTGATGCGCGGGTCAATGTATAAACAACCCGCAACCGACCGACGTTTTCAACTACCCGCCCGCAACTCGGACCGCAAAAAAAAGTAAAAAAAAAAATTGTACCCGACCCGCTTCCTGACCGCATTTTTTTAAAGTAGTAAATGCTCATCGGAGCGTTATTGGGCCATATAGACGTGTAACAACACAGCATCGCAAGAAGACGTAGGCCTACACATAACAAAGGCAAAGCCAGCACTTTGGTCATCATCTTTCATTATTTCAGCAAATGTCTCCCACACTTTTACTCTTTCTATTTGTGTATTTGCGGAGCTTCCACTCCCCAGTCTTCACCTTTTCTCTTGCCGCCTCCATCTCTCTGCAGACTGTAGTGATCATCGTAGACACGGCCGGTTCGTGAACGAATCGTTCTTTTGAACCGGTTCTTTTTAGTGAACCGGTCGAACCAGTACACTCGAACTGAATCGTTCGAAACAGTTCGCGTCTTGCGTCAGTGCTGATCCACAAGTTACTAAAGTTACTCACTTTCAGACATGCCTGACAGTCGCCTCCGAATCGAAATAAATCAATATCCTGAATTATATTTTACTCTAGTAACTCCAACAGTTCACTGAACCGAGACATGTTGCTGCCACTGTTGAGAGAAGTGATCAGCACGAGCAGCTGATACTGCGTATACCGAACGCACAGGGACAGCGGTTCTCGAATCACTAGTACAGAACCGAGAACTGTTTAGACTGAGCTTGTGTGTTATCTTCGTGCCAGTTATTCAGCCAATAATGTGTAGGGCTGTATATTTCATCAAAAACTGTGTCTAGTACTATATACAAATGTTTAATTGGCATCTTTTTTCAAACGACCCGACCGACCGCGACCCGAATATCATTAAAAACATTTTTGGATGACCCGTAACTGCGGGTAACCGCGGGTGACCGCAAGCACCCGCTCATTTCGGATCAACCCGCGCATCACTGGTTCACACCAGCGGACAATTTAGTAAGTGTGCGCTGCACTTTTGTCGTCTGCAGCTGTAAATGCTCAAGCTCTTTTAAAGTAAGGGTGGATTCTGACTGGCTGTCAGCATTTTTTAACTGAAGTTTTTATCATTCAATAGCTGGAAAAAAAAATCGATTTTCAGAACTTAAAGCTACAGTATGTAATGAAAAGAAAATGTCCAGATCTAATGGACTGGTTCAGATCTATGTATTGAACATTGGCGTATGTTATGATATTGCTATTGCTGCCATTTTCTAAAAGCCAACAATTCTAGCCATGCACATAAATAAAATATATGAATTAAAATAACTTCACAGTAAAAAAAAAAGTTTCTTCCTTATTTTTTGTATCAACTTACATTACATTAAAATGACTTGAATCTTGTATGGGTAATACATAAAAGTGGAAAATTGCTTAACTTATTTTGATGAGCATTGTAAAATCACGTTGTCATAACTTAACGATCGTAGCATTTTTTACAGTGTTGTAACGCTCTGAATATTTCAGCGTGATGTCCCATGCAAACCCACACACCTGCTGAAGGCTGTCTTGCACTAAGCCTTGGTCTTCTGGGTGTGCAAACTCCAGAACGTTCTTCCCCAGTAACTCCTGTGTCACATAACAACACAAAACACCAGTGAATGAAATTGATCCTTTACTGAAACAACAAACCAAAATTGAAGCTTTCATTTAGCTGAAACATGTATATATATAAACATTTAAAATTTACACAAAGTTTTTATATCAACTTTTCAATTATATACTTGTCTTTCTTTTCAATGTCATGAAATGTAACCACTTAAAAGGTGGCTGTAACTTGCTTCATTAAATAATGAATAAGTAATACTAGAAACTTATTCATAAACGTATATAGATACTAGAAATCGTTCTTGTGTCCACGCGGCTGGCATATTTACTTGTTGCAGTAAATGCACATTTCATGCATGAAATAGAAACAGACACCGTCAAAACTCAGCATTGAGAAGCGCTAATTAAACGTCACAGCTTCAGTCAATGATTTCGGCCCTCCAAAACCATTTTATAGATATTTTAACATGTTCAGTTCTGTTGCGAAATTTCGGTGCATCACTAAAGCAAGACCAATGAAAACCTGAAAGCTGATCAGCTATATCAGCAGCAGAGGCATCTAACACCCTGCACCTCAGAAATGACTTCCTTTGGCCACGAGGTCCAGCCTGACTCCGGCTTTTGAGGCTCACCTGAGGTTGGTAGCCCACTGTTGCTAGACAGCGGATCCACAAAGGTGTACATGCCCTGGCAGTTGGCGGGAAATAAACTCCACTGGAACGCTGATGTTATTTATGTTTTTGTCGCCTGGGCAACAGGTGACCCATGAAAAACAGAGGTCAGAGAGGAACTAAAAGGGATAGTTTTTTTTTAAAATTCTGTCATTATTTACTCACCTTCATTTCATTCCAAACCCATAAGACTTTCATTCATCTTTGAAACGCATATTACAGGGGTCCTATTATGCCTTTTATGAAGTCTTGATTTTGTTTATGGTGTGTACTAGACCAGTGGTTCTCAACTCCAGTCCTCGGGAAATGTCACAACTCTCCATAGCGGAAGAGCTATACTTCAGTGTAAATATTAACAATGGAGTAAATTTCAGACCAATTCGAGCTGGATTCAAACGCTGACAATGT